CGGTTGCCGGTGAGCGTGCTGTCGATGATGTTGCTGTTGCTGAAAGTTGGGGTGCCGTTGAGATGCGGCCGAAGAATGCGATTGATACGAAGAGGTGGCCAATGGGTGCTGCGGCTGGGACTGAGTATATGAGGCCAAGGATTGTGACGGTTGATCTGAGAAGGCGGGGGCGGGCATTGCCGATGTCGCGGCAGGTAGGGACGTGGTGTTGGCATATGGAAGGTCGTCGAGGATGGGTATCTGATCAAAGCATGGGGTACGAAGATCGCGGATCACGTCCAGGGAGTCAAGGGCGGCATCAACTGGGCTGTTTGATGCCTCCGTCTGGGTTTCGGCGTTGACACGTGATGTTGCAGTGGTGACGTGGTACAAAGCGGAGGATGAAGCCGAGGGACGTGTGGTGTCAGGGCTACTGATGGAAGCATCGGAAGCAGCTACGGTGCGATTAAACGGGATGAAGCGAGTCAAGGGACCACCGTCGCTCAACTCGGATTTGACGTGGGTGGGGCTTGCGCTTGGGCTAAGCCCAGCATTGGCATCGGGACTAGTGTCTGATCCCGAAACAGGGGCGGCATTGGTCTCCAAGGTGAGGCGGCGCAGGGCTTTGACGGCTTCTTCAAGGATGACGGCACGCTCGCATTTGTCGCTCAGGCCAAGCTGTCCAGCCAGGTCTGAGACGGCGTTGTTGATACGCGAACGGCGGATGCGTTCCGTTTCCTGGCAAAGAAGAGGGCGCGGCGCGGGTCAGGTTGAGAAAAGGAGTGTGGTACAATGGCGGTGGGAAAACATGGGGTGGGGGTGGGGGTGGATGATCGTGTGTGCGCGTGCGGGTGGTAGATGGCGGGGCGGCTGACCTGATGCCGTTCACGACGAGGTTTTTTGGGTTCGAGACCACCGAGCATGTTGGCGCCAAGGCCGCTATGTGCCAGCCAGTCCATGTGATCGGCAAACCCCATGCACGAAGGACGGTGCTTCGGGGCAGCAGGCGTGGGCGATTGCGCGGGCTCAAATGTGCGTGTGCGTGTGTATGTTTAGGGAGGAGCCGGAAGGCGAATCGCACCGTCCGCGAGCAACGCGAGCTGAATCGCACAAGACCACCAGGCGGGTCGCAGAAAACCAATCAGGGCAAGAAGGACAGAGTGTGCAGAGAGGGAGATGGAGGCCTCTGCTCCTGTATGGCTCAGGGGGATGTATGGGAATGGCAGCCGCACCACCGAAAGGATGATGATCCGATTGCGAGCACAGCTCAAGAGGAATGTGATCCCAAGTGTCCCGTGCAGAGTTTGATCAATGGCAGCGCATGAACCGTCAAACAAAACTGGACAACGTCGCGAATCCCACGCTCCAATGTCGGCAAGAGCGACACTCTCGTACATGCGTAGTTCCTAGCGACCGCCAAACAGTTGACGAGGGAAGAGGGGCGGGGGAGGCACAGAGAGAGGGGAAGAGGAAGAGGAAGAGGAAGGAAGAGGGGGGGGGGAGAGAGAGAAGTGAGAGGCAACGGTGTGTGCTGGAGGAGTCCAAGGCGCGCAGTCCTTACTCCACACACACGCATACACTAACGGCTTTAAGGTGAAGGTGAAGGGGGGGATGGTGGGGGGGCAATGGTTTGGTTGGGGGTGGTGGTGTTGATGAGGAAGCTGGGGGTGAATGAATGTACTTCCCCCGCCAGCGTCAAGGCGTCGGTGTAGCTCGCCGTTGGAAGGAGTGTGGTGTGGGTGTGGTAGGCAGGAGGATGGGCGCTTGTCGCCGTCGGGTGCAATGGCGTCGTCGCAAGCCAAACACAAGAGAGAGAGAGAGCAAGAGAGCAAGAGGAACGCCACACACATACGTAGATCTATAAGCATACGACACGTCAAACATGCACACATGCATCTCTTTGCCCAACCAGCTTGACGCGTTTTTCAGCAAAAGCAAGAGAGAAGAGAACAAAAGAGAGAGAGAGAGAGAGAGAGAGATATAGAGAGAGAACAGTCAGAGAGAGAGAGTAAGAGAGAACAGTCAGAGAGAGAGAACAGTCAGAGAGAGTAAGAGAGAGAGAGAGAACAGTCAGAGAGAGAGAACAGTCAGAGAGAGAGAGAAGCGCACAAGATGTTACCAGATTGAAGAAAAAGGTTTGGCAAATAACATTATTGTGACATTGGTGGGTCATGCTGTTCCGAGGAAGGGGCGGTCTGCCTTTCTTGCTTCTGGGCGCGGGGGGGGGCTTTGGGCTTGACATGGTTGAACAGCTTGGGGTGGTGGTGGGGTGGTGTTGAGGGGGACGGGTGTTGTTGGTTCGGCGTGATTCTCTGGTAAAACAGCACAATACATGCAGTTGTGCGTCATGCAGATGCTCAGGAAGGACTCGGAACACTGCGTGTGTAGTGCGCGTTTTGCCTCAATTACTTGTGCAGATGTAGGTCTGTCGTGAGTTTTCCAGAATCAGGGAGATGATGAAGGGTCGGGTCAGGGTCAGGGCCCGGATCAAGGGCCGGGGTGCTTACCAAAACCACGCCATCGAACAGGAGTGTAACGGTCCATTTCGTGTTTGTGCGGTCGACTGGAGAGGGTTGCAGCGAAGAAAATTCTTGCTTTGGCCTCCATGATCCCTGGGCCAGTTGGCAGGTGAGGTCCAAAGCCGAAACAAGGACTTCATAACATCCAATGCATACCCTGGCTCACTTGGCTCACTTGACTCACTTGACTTACTTGGCTCACTTGGCTCACTTGACTTGGCGCACTTGGCACTTCACTTGGCGCACTTGGCGCACTTCGCGCACTTCACTTGCCCCGTGGCCTCTGGAAGACTATGCACTGCCCACTTTTCAAATTGGCTCAAGTGGTGTGTGTCTGTGCGTGTGCGCGCCTAAATTACTTTGCACTCGACGTCTCCTGGTCCCCGTTGCCCCTGCTTGGCTCCCTGCTTGGGGACACAAGAATTAGCGGCCGTGATGGGGTCAGAGAAACCTTCAGGATGTGACTGTGACTGTTACGGGTCACTCGAAGGGCACTTGAAACAAAAGGGTTACTGCTGTTCTGGCTTCAATCTTGCAAAGGGGGCATACCTCAGACAGTTCCATGGAAATGTTGTAAAACGTGGTTGGGTCAAGAGAGAGAGAGAGAGAGAGAGAGAGAGAGAGAGAGAGAGAGAGAGAGAGAGAGAGAGAGAGAGAGAGAGAGAGAGAGAGTTTGAGGGAGAGAGAGAGAGAGAGAGAGAGAGTTTGAGGGAGAGAAAGAGAGAGAGAGAGAGAGTTTGAGAGAGAGAGTTTGAGAGAGAGAGTTTGAGAGAGAGAGTTTGAGAGAGAGAGTTTGAGAGAGAGAGAGAGAGAGTTTGAGAGAGAGAGTTTGAGAGTTTGA